TCACCGCTGCCAAAAGACCTGAACTTTTTTATGAATGGACCGGAGAAATATCTGCCAAACGTCGGCTCCGGTTCTGCCAAAATTCACAATTTGCTCCTAAGAGTTCACAGCAGTTTGGGCCAACAGATCCGTCACCAAGAAGTGGTTGACGAAAACGAGCTCAGTAATTTCTCTTTGCATCAATTAGAGTTTTTCTTTCTACCAAAACTCATCTTCACTTTGGTGTGTTTTTTAACTCATTTTTCTTTGTTGTTTCTGATGTTTTGTTTATTTATTTTGGATGTTTTGTGTCAAACGTTTGTTAGAATGTAAAGTTTATTGATTTTTGACAATGTGTTCTTGCATTATTTTTGCCACCGACTTTCTTGAAAATGGTCTCAAAACAACAATGTATCTACTAATCGGTACAAAGTACTTTTAAGAACAACATGAACTGGATTGAAGAGGCTTAAAGCTTTTTGACAATAAATATTTTTAAAACCTCATTACTATCCACACAGCAAAGAGCAGAGAAAATTAATAAATGGCACAAAAACATTTGCATTAAAAATAGGCCTGATAATTGCTCTAACTGCTTCTATCCTTTCCATCTTGATTAATCAATATGTAGATAATGAGAACAATCAAGCCATGATGGGCATGACATTCTGGACTAAAAAGGAAGTCTCTGCTTCAGTCAGAGCCGATGCCCTCGCTATTGATTTGTGTACCTTGGCACCCTGCTGACGAAATCTATTGTGACATTTCCATTTTTAATTTAAGACCCTGAGCTGCTGCTGCCATTGTTACGACCTGATGCGACGCTCAGCTGAGTCTTTTCTGAGTGACTTTGACCACTTAACTTTAAGGAAAAGAAGACAGTATAAATAGAGTTTCGGCATTTATTTTTTCTGTGTTTGTTGCTCACTTCCCATTTTGGGAAAATCCACGTATGGTTTCAACATCTGGGGCGTTTGATACAATAAAAGCAGAAAATAAGCAGACGTTTTTTGTTTTCAGTGCTCAAGATAAACAATCTCGTCTGTCACAAGATTTTAGATTACAAGAAATATAAAACCTTATTAAATTTCACATTGTTTTCTATTCCTTTTTAAATTTCAGTTTATGCACTGCAAAAACACAAAACCTTACCAAGTATTTTTGGTCATAAAATTTCCAGTGGAAATATTTCAGTTCACTAAAATAAAACAAGACTGACTTATAGTAGCTTTTCAGCAAGTTATAGCAGTTTGTTTTGAGACAATAGTTTCCTAATATTGATGAAAAAGTTCTTGTTCCATTTATTTCATAATCAACAGGCGTTGCGCCGTTACCTAGCAACCCCAGCCATGCACAGCCGGTTACCTGGCAACCCAGTATTAGATACATTGCTTCACTTGTAACACGGTGAAAATGTTTCGTCATAAGTGAAAGAATCTGCCAATAGAACCAGAACTTTTCTTTACTTTTGAGGGTTTTTCACTTAAAACAAATTCCTATTTCTTGCTAAAACGTTACTTGTAAGTTAGTTTTGTCTTATTTTATATTTATATTGATGTCATTTAGCTGTTTAGCTTTTCTGTCATGACCTAAAAAACAGATTTATTAGTTTTTATTTTTATCTTTATGTAAATTAAACTGAGGAGATTATTTACTCCAGTTCAGTTCATAACATGCATTTTCCACCAAAACGACTAAAAGGTTTCTGTTATACAGATTAAAATCCTTTAAATGAGATTACAGACATGTCCAGCATGTTTCCCTGAATGTTTGTAGCTTAAAATTGTGGGTTCTGTCCCTCCCTGTTGCTGCACATTGCTGGTCAGCTGGCTGGACGGAGCCTACTGCTTTTTCTATGTGTTCAAGACAAATTCAGCAGCTGAGGAACATTTTTGGTTCCATACAGTCGTGTGAGAATTAAAACTGACTTAAATGTGAATATAAATTTTTCTCAAACCGTTAGGTGACTGAAAATAAACAAATTCTGAGGTTTATATCAGACTCTTTCTCAGAATTAGATGTCTTCTTTTTTTTCCAAGTGCCTGAAATCCTCTTCCATATCGGTTGATAATCAAACCGATTTTAATCGTGACGATCCAAGCTGAGATGTCATTCTGACTCTGTAGCGTCTAAACAAGCACTGTCAAAAGGTCTCCCCTCAGGAAGTGTCTTTTTGACCTCCGATCGATGACCTGGAAAGGTCAGGCCCCCAGCGAGGGCTGCGAACAACCCCTGGGGCCCGGCGGCACGCGGGCCCCCAGGCGCTCGGCGGACAGACCCCTGCACTCGCAGCAGATGTCAGTCAGTGGAAAGAAAAACCCAAAACAGCTGCTGGATTTCAATGTTTGATCTGCAGCTTCACCGCAAGTTTTCATCTTTCTTTCTGCTCATGCATTCTGATATTTATACTAAAACGTAGAGCAGGGGTGTCCAAAGTGTGGGTCGGGGGCCATTTGTGGCCCTTGGAACAATTCTATGCGGCTCTGGATTACCGTTCAGGCTGTTGATACAGATTTAAAAACAACAGGGATGTTTCACTGATGCAACACAAAACATTCATCCAGGTTTTTGCTTTGCATTTCATTTCTTTTAATAGTAAAGATTGGCTAAAACAGAATAGTTTAGTGCATGTTTTGCACTAAAAACAGTTGGGGCACTTCCAACTCGAGTCAGAACCGATTCCCTCTCTCAGTTTAATCTCAGAATTCTGAATTTAATCTCAGATTCTGTTTTACAGAATTCTGATCTTAATCTTAGTATTCTGACATTTTTCTCATAATTTCAACTTTGATCTCAAAATATTTGGTACAGTTTTGTCTTTTTTTAAGTGTGGGATCGGTTCAACTCAAGAACTGATCCCCTTTCTCATAGTTCTTAGTTTAATCTCAGAATTGTAATATTTTCTGAGAATTCTGAGGTTTAATCTCAGATTATTTTTGTTTTTTGTTTTTTTTTTTTGCAAGATGTTGCGTTTGCTTTCTGCTAAAGAGACTGAACTGATCCCCTTTCTCATAATTCTGAGTTTAATCTCAGAATTTTCACTTTCTTTTCTCATACTTCTGACTTTAATCTCAAAATACCAAAATACTTGGTATGAATTGTGTTATTTTGTGAAGCGTGTCGTGTCAGAACCGGTCCCCTGTCAGCGCAGTGTGGGCCGACTCGCAGCGAGACGGCGATCGGCCAGGCAACCCGAGCCCGGCTTCATTCTGACCGACTGACTGGGCTTTCCTTCAGAGACGCAGTCGATTAGATTAGCGTTGATCATGACTCGAGATGATGGGATGTTAATCAGGACTGATCAGGCACTTAACAGCCTCTCAGATGGACCGGGCTCACGGTGGGGGCTGCAGACCCCACGGCCCCGCCCGGCCCGGCCGATCAATGCGCCCGTTGTTGTCGTCTGGAACGTATTGACAGCCTGCTGAAAGCAGATAAAGTATTTATAGGAGCCAGTTTTATGATTGTCATATTTCACCAGCAGAACTCCCGCCAGGAAAAACAAATGAGATTTGAAGTGAGCTGTGTGTGTCAGTGACGGCCTGAGACGTCAAAATGGAGGACAGATGGAATCAGTGTTGGTGCATTTCACTGCAAAAACACAAAATCTTACCTTACTACACACAAAACAAGACAAAACTAACTCAAAAGTATGTATTTATTTCCCAATAACTATCACAGGTCCAACTTTGTCCCAGTTCGTTCAAATTTTATTCATACAAACCTTCATTTTAGACATTTAACCTACGATAGGTATAGATGTTGTTTAAATTGGAGACGACCAATTTATGTATCACTGTCAAAAACAGGTCAAAACTGCACCAAAGGCTGCACTGTCAAAAAAAATCTGTAAAATACTGGCTGCTGTCATGACTGTAAATTTTACAAGGTTTTTTTGCAGGGTAATATTTTTCAAATACATCCATGAACGTGGGAATCACAACAATAAACATAGGAAAAATGAAAACTAAACAATAGTAACAATAGTACAAAATAAATAAAAGATAGGTGTTTCAATATGGATCTAGTTAATGGTTTCCATTTAGATTGAAATTTAGAAAATAAGATGAAAATCTTAATTTAATTCTGTCTTTCCAGGCCATAATACTGGGAGTTTATGTTCTTAACCAAGCAGATCTAGAGCTTTTCTTCACAATAAGAATCAAGACTTTAATCAAGAATTTATTGTCTTTGTCCAAGGAGCTTGTTTTTTTGGTCAATAGTGATTCAAACATTGATTAAAAAGTTCTGGTTCCATTGGCAGATAAATATACTGATATTTTCCCATGTTATAAGTGAAATAATCTACCAGTGGAACTGTAACTTTTTCACCAATGTTAAGGAATTATTTACCCAAAACAAGCTCCTGCATCTTGCTGATGAGTTACGTTCACATTAGTTTTGTCCCAATCAGATATTTGCACTAGAAAAAAAACCTTAATGATTGTTTTTGTTTTGTTCTGTGTGTAAATTACACTAAAAAAACACAAAATCTCACCAAGTAATTTAAGCCTAATTTCTTGTGCAAATAAGACAAATCTACCTTACAGGTAACTTTTTTTGTAAGACGTAGAAGCTTGTTTTAAGTAAATAATTCCTTAATATTGTTGAAAAGGTGCTAGTTCTATTGGCAGATTATTTAACTTATAATTACACATTTTTCCCATGTTTTAAGTTCTTTTATCTGGCAATAGAAAAAAAACTTTTTCATCAATATTAAAAAATTATTCGTTTAAAACAAGCTTCTACATCTTGCTGAAAAGTTACTTTTAAGTTAATTTGTCTTATTTTAAGTGAAACAAGATATTTGCACCAGAAACTAGACCAAGCATACTTGGTAAAATCTTGTTTTTTTTTTTTTTTTGCAGTGCATGAGTTTATTTTTCTTCCTGAGCTCCTTAGAAATAGAGCTCAGGTATTTTAACCGTATATTAAAGGTTAAAATATCAAACCTGATGTGAAATGTGTGATTGGACCCCGGGTGATTCAGGTGTGTTTGTCTCTTTGTCTCGGCGCTGCAGTGGCTTTCCACGGACTGCAGCTGAAGATCAAGCAGGAGCTGCACAGCCCGTGCTCAGAGCTGAGCTCCAACTGCAGTCAGGAGCGGCCCTTCAAGCTCCAGTATGGAGAGAAGTGTCCATACAGCATCAGGTGGCCGGCCGCGTGCTTCACTGATACCCGGTTAAAACATGGCTGACGCTTCATCTGAAGGGTTGTGCACAAGACTGACAGATAAAACCTGGAGCGTTCATGAATGTTTATGAATATTTACCAAACGTTATTTGGTAAACAAACCAAATAATGACACTTCAGTCAGTAAAAGTAGCAAGTAAAGTGATATTATTGGGTGAATAATGACACTCGTCATGCAACGTTTATACTTTTGATTGACTTTTAATCAGAGTTGGGTAGTAATCACAATAATCGATAAATCAATTAATTGTATAATAAGTTAAGATTAGCTCAAAAACGTCCATTTTTATGTTTTTCTCTCTTTCTACCAAAATCTTTTTGACTAAAAGAGTCTCATGTTTTGGTCTGAGCCAGACAATTTTGTTTATATTACCTGAAAATGGTCACACACAAAAAAACAACATTATCATTTATTGCGATAACTTCTGACATTATTTATGATCCAGCAAAAGTTGTTATGATGACAGGCTTAGTGGTAACTAGTTACATTTAATTAATTACATTTGAGTAAAAAAAGTACTTTTAGGAGTATTTTTAATGTACTTTTTACTTGAGTAATTTTATTACTTCAGTGAAACGTCTGTATTTTCTATCCACTGAACGAAAAAATACACCAGACACACACCTACATTTCCTGTTAAAGTTTTTTCTTAAAAGAAATTTTTCTTTTACTTAATTTTGTTGTTTTTTGTTACTTATATAAACTATTGTAATTTTTGTCTTTAAAATACCAAAGTTTTAACAGTCATATACATTCATAAAGGCTCCTTCATGTCTTTTGCACATCTTTTCAAATAAAGTGTCACCGAAACTTGCATTGTCGTAACTTACCCAGCTTGGCTACAGTATTTCAACTCTTTTGTGTCGTTCTGGACTCAGTATCCTGACATCTGGATTGTTTTGTTGCCGCAGTGCCTATGAGCAGAAGCACCATACAGGAATGAAGCCCTCCAGCCCTGTGACGCCCCCCTGCAGCACCCCGGTGTCCCCCCTTCACCATGGCTCGCCCCCACCCAAACCGGACCGGACTTACGCCCACATCCCGCCCTCGCAGCCTCTCCCGGACAGCGCCTACTCCATGGACCACAGGTACCGCCGCGACGTCACCATTAACACACTATTAACACTAGTTAATAGCAAAACACACAAGTTCAGGGGGTATTTGTTTTAAAGTTTCTACTGCAAATATCTCATTACACTTGAATTAAGTCAAAACTAACGTAAAAGTAACTTTTACGTTAGAATTTTGAATTTGAGTACTTTCGGCTTTCTTGAAAAATACCCCCAATAATTAATTGCTTATAGAAAAAGTGTTATTTTCCTATCTTTTTTATTATTTCTCCCATTTTCTTATTCTATTATCGTGTGTCCAATGTGTCTGGTGACTGTTTCTCCAGATTTCGACGTCAGCTCTCTGAGCCGTGCCACTCGTTTCCCTCCCCGCCGACGATGGCCCGGGACAGCCGGCCCATCTACCACCGGCAGCTGTCGGAGCCCAGCATCCCCTTCCCCCCTCAAGGCTTCAAGCAGGAGTACCCGGACCCCCTGTTCGAGCACCCGGCCATGATGGGAGCGCCGCTGCCCCACGCCTACCCAGCCAGCATGATGATCAAGCAGGAGCCCAGGGACTTCACCTATGACTCAGGTGAGACGAGACCAAGTTAACAATTTGATTTCACTTTTTCCACCCGCAAAAGACTCATTTTAGCAGTAATAAATCAATTGATCAATTAATTAGCTTTTCTCATTTTTTTGTGTGTAATTCGGTTAATTTTAATTAGCTCTTAGAGTGCATTTTAAATGTTAAATGTTTAGTTTCAGTTTAGTTTTTATTTAGTGATAGTGGTATTTTCACTTCTTCACACCTAGGTTGATTTAAAGGTGCAGATTTCAAAAAGGTTAAACCAATTATATTTGGACGATATGATGTCATCTTCTTTATATTACTTGAAAATGGTCTTAAAAACAATTTTATCGTTTATCACAATAACTTCTTGGGTTATTTATCATCCAACAAGATTTGTTATCGTGACAGACTTAGTGAGAGGGAAGAAATTGACTAAATAGTTTCATTGAAATAAATGAAATAGTAATAAATAATTAATGGGGAGAAACTATAGCTAACCTGTTATCTTGTGTTGAGTATTGATTTCTCAATGCATATATAATCACAATACAATTAGACAGATTTTGCTGGATGATAAGGTTATCGTGATAAACGATACTATTGTTGTTTTCAGAGCATTTCCAGGTAATTTGATGGCTTAATAATGGAAGAACCCATTCTCAAAGATCAATAAACATTTAACACTGGAGCTGGAAGACACTTTAAACATCCAAAATAAAAAAGAAAACAACCAAAACAACAAATAAAATTAATTATGAAGTCTCTGTAAACAAAATTGGTAAGTCGAGACCAAGTCACCAGATTTTGGTAAAAAGAGACAATAAATCATGCAAATTTAAATTACTGAGCTCGTTTTAATTTAACTGTTAATTGATTTATTACCTAAATCCAATAACTAAAACCACTACTGTAACTACTAAAAACCAAACTGAAACTTTTTTAACATTTAAAAACTAACTGAATTAGACAAACAGATAAAACCAAACTTTAATAAAAACCAAAAGCTGCTGAGAGGAGACATTATGAGAGGGGGCGTCGTTTATTGAGTTTGCCTGTTATTAGGGGTTCTGGTCGGGCATCTGCGTTGTTCACCACTTCCTGCAGAGCTTTAATGGAGAAAAGGAAAGAAGAAGAAGGGTTGGTTTCAGTCCTCCCACTCATGTTAGCTCCTTCTAGTTGGACACTAAAGAGAGCGAGTCAGGAGGCCCGAGGCGACACCCCGGCTTGAATGAACCTCCGCCGGACCGTTGGGTTCATTCACAAGAGAGACAGAGCTGTGTCCAGTCAGGAGAAAAAACATCGATGAGATGAGTTCAAGAAAAGAAACTCATCTCTCCTTTGCTGCGACTCCATTTGTGTGCCAACCAGCCGCAGTAGCTGTTTCTTTTTTTTATTGAAAAACCACATAACTGTGATTTTTTGGTGTTTTCTCGCTCTTCGGTGCCATAGATGCGCTCACCAGGTTTCACAGCTGTGTGGCTTCTAAATACCAATTAACACCACTGGATAATGCCAGAAGAAACACATGGCTGCTCTGCTAAGACGTCTCACGTCTCAACAGACACTCGCTTAGTAGCTACTTGGTTGTTTCTGGCTGTTTGTCTCACAATCAACTGATCTGAATCTTTTAATCAATTATTTTTCTTAAACTTAACATAATGAAAGAAGTCTGGATCACACATAAAAACTTTGAAAAACAAATCAAATGAATTATAATTAGAGATGAACCGATCTGATATTAATATCTGTATCGGTCCTGATATTGACAATGTGCCCGATCTATACGGTCTAATTCTATGCTTTCAGTCTGAGTGACATCATTCTTTATTTATTTTACATTATATTTAGGATTTCTAATTACAGTCTTATTTTGGGACGTTTGACCAATTGTTTATGTGAGTTTCACTTGCTTTATTGAACAAATTAAAGTTGTTTCTACAAGTTTCACCGGGTTTGTGAAGTTTAAGTGAGGTGTACTGGTGCAGAGTTGACAAATTCAGAATATTTATGTCTGCGTTTTAAAAAATGAAACATTTTAAATCAATTCAGCAATGTTTTTCTGTATTGGATCAGTTCTGTCCGATATTGAACCTCAGATATCTGTATCGGTATCAGAAATTTAAAAAGTGGATTAGTGCATTCCTACTTACTAAAGTACCTAAAACTACAGATATCTATGTGCTCGAGATGCTACGTTTTTAATGTCGGTTCTAATTTTTAGGGTCATGATTCAAATCTTGATTCAGAAAATATTTTTCAATCAGAAACCAATTTTTCTATTCTAGCAGTTTAAATATTCTGTTTAAATTAAAAACTATATTTAAAGAAAAATAGGTCGTGCATAAAATTAAATTAAATTACTAGTATTGGGCTAGTTTAGCTGCCTGCCTTTTTCTTAAATTTAAAAAATATCAAATATTTTTTTCAAGCAAGTTTTTAAAAACAAGAAAAAAGCAATCAGAACAGATAAAACATGTGCACACATAACCAAGAACAAAAAATGTATTTACTACTACGTATCACACTTCTTATCTCAGTTTAATCAAATATATAACTTATTGACTCAATAATTAACCAAACTTTGTAATTAAACCCTTGTTATAATATTAGTGTGCCTGTTCAATATGCTGGGCTAAAAAGCGAACAAATAAATTATATTACATAAAAAAATGTACACCCTGGGTAAGAATTGCTATTTTTTTTCAGCAACTCTCTAAATTTCTTTTTCTTTATAAATGGTTAAAACAATCATAGTACAGTCAAACAACATCAAACATCAGATTATGAATGAAAATAAACGATTTAAGGCATAATTGTGGTTTAAAAACATCTCCAGCTGTAGTGCAGAGGCAGGATGGAGGATGAGGGTGTGTTTATTAGCATGTTGACAGGAGCAGGCCTGTCGGAGAGGATGGGAGGGGAATCGTAATTTCATTAGCAGCAATTTCCTCTACAGGCCCATTACTTTGATGAAGCTCAGAGAAATGTTTATGGGCCTAAATGAAGGGCCTCGGTGTGTTTATTGAACATTCGCTCTGTTGCATGTTCATTTTTTATGCTCTGCTTTTATTTTACGTATTAAAAGTGTGTTTGAAACTTAACAGTTTCACAGCAAAAACACAGAATTTGTTTCTGCTGCAAACATCCTTGAAATGAGACAAAATTAACTTACAAGAAACTTCTCAGCAAGAAATAGGAGCTTGATTTCAGTAATATTGATGAAAGCTTACTATTTCCACTGACAGATTACGTAACTTATAACATTTTTCCTGTGTTTTTTTATCGATATTAAGGAATTATTGACTTAAAATAAGCTCATATTTCTTTCTGTAAAGTTACTTGTAAGTTAGTTTTGTCTTATTCTAAGAAATCAGACAAAATACTACTAATATAATAGATATCATGTTATGGCCAAGTAATTGCAAATCAAATTTTCTGATTTCTAATTTTTTTTGTATTTTTCTTCTTGTGTTGAAAGCAGGAGCATTAAAGTTACTGAATAGGTAAAATTTTTTTATTAATGCAGATCTGAGGAGTCATAGTTTACATGTGAGTGTTTCACTATTCAATATTTATCCTTTTGGCATTTATTTCAAATCACTAAAATACACTGAAAACATGGTTTTGATTTGGAAACTAAAGAGGGTATTTTTGAAACATTTTACAAAGTTTGTTATGAAAACAAATGTAAAAGTCAAAATGTTTTTTAAATCAATGTATTGCTATGTTAGGTTTGGCGAAAGAAATGCTAAAATAAACTTTCTGTAACTTAATTTCTATTAATCAACTTTGATTAAACTGGTTAGAAACAGTATTAGAAAAAATATATTGTTTAAATCTAACTTTCAAATGTTTTGAAATGGCCACTCCTGGGCTGGTGAGTTAGCCGTTAGCTCAAACTTTAGCTTATCTGCTTCCATCGCTCAATGTTTTCTAAAATACAACCTTTTACCAGGACAATTTTCTTTTTTTGTTGTTTTTTAAATGGGGTGAAGGTGTTTGTGAGAGGAAATTACATTGATATAAAAAAATTATATCAAAAGATTTTCAGAAGGTATGTGACCAACAAATGTTATATTAGCTTTAGCTTACAAAGTACTTTTTTTTTTAAAGAAAGAAACACCTGCAGTCCTGGTAAGTGGTTATAAAGTAAAATGTGGAAACAATCAGAAAACATTTTATGATTTGAAGTGGCTTTTCTTAAACCATTTTCTTTGGTTGATGTTGCCACTGCACAGGTTTCTTTTTGTAAAAAAAACAGGCGCTAGCACCAGGAGGTTTGTTCCAAATAAACATAAAATGAAACTGTAGCGGCATTTTATGCCCCCACGTTATGAAAACCTTACATCATATGAACACGTGTTTGGATATTGTGTGATGAAGCAGTGGAGAGGCCCAGGGCCTGCATTCACAGGGAGATACAGTTCGCTCGCCTGTGGCTGCAAGGCGGTACAATGCCACTGCTGGAGGGCATTTTCTTTAATCAGTGCCGCTGGTGCATTGATTGAACAAGCTGTGGCTGCTCTCAGAGAGCTGAGATCGTGTTCTTAATGCCGCCTTTGGGCCCTTTAACACCCACTCTCGTTCTTGCCTGGCTTTCAGCAGAAGTGCCTAGCTGCCATTCTGTCTACTTACGGCAAGACGGCTATCTGGCTCAGACTAACAGGACTGAAGGTACTAACAAAGACGCCTGCTGATGTTGTAATGCTGCTTCATGTGATGTTTCTCCTCTCAGTGGTACACCAAATTGATCTAATATCTGTTTTTATTGAAGGTTGTATGTTTGATAAAGTGGCAAGGCACTTCTACGACGACACCTGCGTCGTACCTGAAAAAGTCGAAGGTGAGTCAGCGGACATTTCTGAGCATATCTGATCACTAAGATGTGTAAAATGATGAATTTGCTCTGTTTTCCGTAGGTGACATCAAGCAGGAGGCGGCCCTGTACCGCGAGGGCCCGTCCTACCAGCGCCGAGGCTCGCTGCAGCTCTGGCAGTTCCTGGTGGCTCTTCTGGACGATCCGTCCAACTCACACTTCATCGCCTGGACCGGCCGTGGCATGGAGTTCAAACTCATCGAGCCAGAAGAGGTAAACCCCTCAGAAATACTAAATATTTATGTCATATTTGATAGGAAATGGTTTCTCCATGAGGTTTTTAGTGGGTTTTACTTAACATTATGGTTGAAAACTGAGATTTTTGCCACAAATATTTATTTAAACCTTGTGGCATTTTGCTCTGATTTAGGCCTGAAATGATTCATTGGATTAATTTAGATTATTGAAATAATCATCAACTAATTTAGTAATCAATTAATGCAGACTCATAAAAAGACCATTTGCTGACTGCAGACACATCGTTTGCAACAAACGATCAAGCGTATGTGAAAGGAATGTTGTCTTATTGCATTTTATACAATAACATTTTTATTCTGTCACTAAAAGAGCAAGCTGATTATTTGTTTATGTAGCATAATATAATACATTTCTAATATTGTATAAAACAGACTTAAGTGTTTGTATGAAAAATCAGATTTTCGGAAAAGAATCGTCATTTTGCTGTGAATTTAATGTTTACAGGAATCTGTTGAGGAATCTTTTGGGTTCATACAGTTTGTGGAAATTTGAAAGATGCTCAAGCTTGTTTACATTTTGGATAGTGTGTAAACTGCCAGTCTACATAAGTACATTACATTTTGTAATAAATTACTGAGAACTGAAGGGTTTCTTTTATTGCTTATTTTATCTTTTATGGAAATGGAAAATTTTGTTTCTAATCTGTGTATTGAATGAATTTTCAAACCAGATATTGACATACATCATATAAAATGACATATAACCATCTTCTCTGTTTTCTCTGCTTTATGTCAGGATTACAGAATTTTGGTTATGATGAGGTTGTTTTATCCATAACCTCATGATTTTTGGTGCCTGAAAAATGAGCCATTTCAAAACCTCCTGATTGTTAAGCTGGAGTTGAGCTCCAGCATGTTTGTAGAGCTAATTTTCCACTGTGTGCTCTGTGCAATGGCTGCTGGAAAAGACAAGTGTTTTTGTTTTTGGCTGTTTTTGACTTACCATTCAGAAACCACTTGCTGTGCTCTTGTTGGTTGTGCAGGAGGCTCTACTTCTGCTTTTCAATGAGTTGCTGCCATTTTCATATGCGAGTGCAAACATTGAGTTAGGGGCCTGACCAGAAGGAGTTTATTTGGATTTCAAGAGACGAGAATTAATGGTAGTTTAAGTTAAATCTCACTCGATATGTAGGTTTTAAATGTAGGTTTTCAATTGTCTATGTCTAAAATAGACAATAAAGTCTATGTTTATGTTTATGTAAACCTCTTTACTCTAATTTCCATTTGCATGATTTATTGTTTTTCTCTTTTTTCCAAAAACTCGATGTCAAAAGTCTTTAGTGTCATATTTTGGTTTCAACTGGGCCAGTCCTGTTACAGATACTTCATAATTAATTTTATTTCTTGTTTCTGTTTTTCTGTTTATTAGTATTGAATATTTAAAATGTCTTCCAGTTGCAGTGTTAAATGTTCATTAGAATTTAAAGTTTATTGATCTTTGTTCTTACATTATTACCTGAAAATTGTCTCAAAACAACAATATTATCATGTATTACAATAACATTTGGGACAATTTATCATCCAGCAAAATTTGTCATTGTGTCAGACCTATTCACTTGTTTCTCTTCTTTTGTGTGACAAAAGGAAGTGGAATAGAATAATAGCTGCCTAACATGTTTTGTTGTAATATCATAATGAGAACTGAAAAGCAAAATTAGACAGTGTTAAACTATAAAGACATTTTTCTAAAGGTGTAGCTCTAGCTGGCGGTTCAGTCTGGATCTGTGCATGCCCACTCCACCCACAGTGGGCCTCAGTTACTGCTGTGGGGGGGGTAGATCAGCGGGTGGGAGTGTAGGAAGCAGGAGACAGATGAGCAGGTGGCAGCGGTCCACGGAGCCCGGCGGTGTGTGGAGGTGCGGGCCAGCCGCAGCCACCAGGGGGTCCATTCATACCATCAGGTGACGCAGCAGACAAATGCTAGCTAACAGCACCTGGCTTTACAGGTGTAGGATATAAACAGATACATGGAGCATCGCAGAAGTCTTATCTCTGGTGTAGTTTCTAAATCGAATATCTTAGTTCACTTGAAATAAGACAAAACTGACTTACAAGTAACCTTTCAGCAAAAAAGGTCAATAGTGCCTTAATATTTATTTTATAAATGTACCAATGTCCATTGGCAGATTATTTAAAATTGACTGTTAGTTTTTCATTAATATTAAAGGAATTATTGGCTCTGAACAAGATGCTTTATCTTGCTGAAAAGTTACTTCTAAGTTAGTTTTGTTTTGTTTTAAGTGATTTAAGACATTTCCACTAGAAACTAGACCAGAAGCAGTAAAGCTGGAATGAGAGAATACGGAGCGAGTGGCGGTGTGAGTTTGGACGCGATGCCGGGTGGTGGGTGGTCTGCTAGACAGGTGCTGTAACATCTGGTGCCTCCTCAGCTGGCCGTGTTGACAGGCTGCTAATGAACACATCCCTGGTCGGGTCTGCTCAGTCTGGACGCAGAATAATTACTGTTATTAGAATAATACAGATTAATAAGATTGTTTAACATTTCAGCTGCTGCTGCTGGCTTCATGTGAGGGAAAACATCTCTGAATGTCTGGTGGTTTTCATTTTGGCGTTCAGACTGTTTGTTTTTGTTTATTGCTTGGTAAAGGTGGCGCGTCGGTGGGGGATCCAGAAGAACCGGCCAGCGATGAATTATGACAAACTCAGCCGGTCGCTTCGCTATTACTACGAAAAGGGAATCATGCAAAAGGTAAAAGAAAGTCTTCTTGTGTAGAGAATAAATATAGATACTTAAAATGATAATCTGCAGAATGTTTTTTGCCTTTTATTCACCTATCGAACTCATTTCACTATTTTTATTTTTAAATTTTTTGTAACCTTTTCCTGACATAAATTGATATCAACACTCAGTTGGCATGTACTCTTGTTATTCCCATTTTGAAGAGAATTGGGTGAGTGAATATTAAAGAAAATGGAAATTTATTATAAGTGAAATAAATGCCATTGTAACTAAGACATTTCAAAATGAATATTAAGGATTAATTGATTTAAAACAAGTTGCTATATCATGCTGAGTAAGTTACATTTCAGTTTTTGTCTTATTTCAAGCGTGCTAAAATATTAGCTCTAGAAACAAGACAAAAGCAATCGGTAGGATTTTGTGTTTTTGCATTTGTCTCGACATCAAACAGGGAAAAACTCTTGTGTTTTTTTTATCGACCAGGTTGCCGGTGAGAGATACGTCTACAAGTTCGTGTGCGACCCAGAGGCCTTGTTCTCGATGGCGTTCCCCGACAACCAGCGGCCGGTGCTGAAGACGGACATGGAGCGTCAGATCAACGAGGAGGACACCGTGCCGCTGTCGCACTTTGACGAAAACATGGCGTACGTTCAGGAGGGGCCCTACTGCCAGCCGCACCCCTACAGCGAAGGCTACGTTTATTAGTGACACACACACCTTCACTCCGCCCCGTCTCCTCCGTACACCTGAGACCGTCATGTCCTCTGATTCACAGTCGCTCTGGGAAAAAGACTGAACACACACACACATACACACACACACAGAGTGGCACTTCCCTCGATCATCAACACATTCACTCATCTTTGCTCTTATCTTTCTGGCGTCCAGAGAGTGCACTTTATGGACAGGAGCAGCACCAGAGTCTGTGTGTTTGGCGTTTTACCCGTTTATGTTTGTACATTGCAGCTGAACGCATCCTGTTTATTTTTTATTATCATTTTGCGTATGAGGCTGGAACTTCGGTTTCCTGCAAAAGGAACTCGTCTCTGCACACGTGAAGCAAATAGAAGAAGGAAAAACTCTTGTTTTGTCCTAATGCAAACATCTTCTACTGGAAATCTAACAATGCTTCCACAGTGACGAGATTGTTCTGACGCGATGGTGAGGAAAAAGGACATTTTTAGCCGTTTTGGTGGGAACTTCCTCGCCTCCAGGCTGACCCAGCTCTCTGCCATGACTCCAACCAAACTGTAGATCTTCGTCATGTAGATGTTTTTGCTGTAACAACATCATTTCCTCATCAACTAAAAAAGAAAAAAAAAAACCTTGTGGGTCACAGCTACGAGGATGCACTGGAATCTTTTAGGATAAACGTCAAGAAATAACTCAGTCGCTGTGTGAAAAAAAAAAAAGAAAAACTGATTTGTATTCATTTTTCATTCAGGTGTTCGGTTTTTCAGTGAAAAACAGGTGACTTCTATGTACAGTTAAAATTAATTCAGAATACCTATTGCATCCCCAAATTTCAATAAGTGGATTTAATCAGCAAAAGAAAAAACATTACATTTTTTTCAGTTCAGTTCCAGGTGAACGCAAATGTCTTTGTTTCTGAAAAAATAAAAAAAATAAAAGTTGCTTTGCCATCATTAGTTTGCTTTTTGGTAAAACAAAAGGAGCTATTTAGAAGTTTATAATGTGGTGAAATAAAGGAAGTCGTGTTATATAATAATGTTGTATAAATCAGGTACATGCACATTTTGTTGCTGCTTCAAATTGTAAGTGTATTTTCTAGTCAAGATAAAAGAAAATCAAAAAACTGAAAGCGTTTAGCAACTTTGGCCTGCTGCTCTGGATTTCTGTTTATTGTTTTTATTTATTTATTTTTGTTTCATTCATGCATCCAGAAAAAAAAAAGAAATGTCTGGTCTGTCTGTTTTTGGAGGTTTACATGTGTGGGATGAGAATGGCAATAGGAACGTTCTGTAATAAAACAAACAAAAAAACTAAATTATGTCCACTTGTTAATGCTTACATAATTAAACAATCACATGAAAGGTTTTGTCAAAAGATTTTTGTGCTTTGTTTGACATAGGCATTTGGTTTCTGGTTTTGAAATATGTCAGTTTTAAAGGGTATGATTTAAAAGTAACTGCATTTTTCCATCATTCTGTTTCTGTGGTTTGAATTCCTACAAAACTGTACCGACCTGGTGAGGTTCATAGTTGGTGAGAAAATGACTTAATAAGGACTATTTATTCTTCTACACGTCATTCATAGAATAATCCCGTTAATCACACTTGGACATGCATTTTTGTGCTTTGCTCTACAGCAAAGGGAAAAACCCTGAAAGTACAATTCAAAATCACTTCTTTCTCAACAAAACAAAAATCAGAGCATTCAGTCTGTTGCAGTGTTGTGGTTTTAGGCTGAAAGTTTATTTTGCGATCATTAAGTGAGTGATGAGGTCAGAGGAGAAGACCATAAATATGTCGCTGCACTTGTCTTTTGTCCATGGCCGGCTCGCTGTTTCTGTCTCTTACTCTGCAGTTGTGGAGTCACAATGTCTGGGATCATGAGCGCCCCCTGTCATGAGGCCAGAGAACTGCCTGCCTCACCTCCAATCTGTTCTGGTCGCTCCTCACCACACGAAACACGTTTCACACACAGTTGGACAAAAAAACACCAAACTTAAGTTAAATTATGGAAAATCCGTTTACATACTAAGTGTTTTTTAACTTTTTTGCTCCCATAGTTAGCAGCCAGTGCAGTTAGCGAGAGCTTGATCAATCCAGGTGAGGCTCGGCTCGCTGCTGCCTCACCTGCTAAGCTTTGAATGGGAAATTTTGAAAATTTAGTGATTCTGAAGGACAAAATAATCAAAATAGGTGAAGCCAAATGAAAAATAAATACTTCATAGTACAAGCCACAGGGTGAAAATAGCAATATAGATTATTTTATTATTATATATTATTTTTCCATGATGACCCTCACTTGCACATCACTGATACTGACCAAATTAATTAAATTTACCTGCCCACCCTCTGCATGTCATTAAAAAATCTGTAATAAATTATTGCTTAAAATTAACTTTTAGATAAGGACAAGGTCTTCTGAAAACAAACATTTTTTTCCTAACTTTGAAAACTTTTCGTGCAGTTACTTTCCCTTAAATGACTTCAAAATTTTTCTGGAAAACAAAAAGTATTTAAAGTAAAAATTAACTTGGCTGTTTCGTAAACAACCAAAGTTCGACGTCTCTGTTGAAGTTTCGGTTGTCGCGTAGTTTGACGTTTCTGTTCAAGCTTTTACTTTAAAGTGGCGATTTACACACCAGTTCCATGTCCTCCCTTCACTCCGTTTCTGTTTCCCTAACAACTTTATTTCATGCACAATATATAAACATTAATACGTTAAAAGAAATTCATGTATAATTTAAACTGAAGTTAGCGCTTTGGAATTAGCTTCTGTGCTTTAAAGCTAGTAGCACCTAACCTTTCATTTAGCCACATGTAGCTTTACACATGGTAATTGCTAAAAACACAAATTTGTGCTTACTTGAATGTTTAAATCATATTAGGTAGCACAAAATGCTTAACAGAGATTAAAAACATAAGGAGTTTATACATACCAGATAAAATTAAAGTTTGTGAAGACATTTTATCTCTCATTAACAATTATTAATTGACTTATCAAGTGAAGTTTAGGTTTCTGAGTTTCATTGTGAAGGAAACTAAAATGTGACGACCAACAGATCACGGCTTCTTCCCTAATTTCTAATTTAGTCTGGGAGAAGTAAGAAAAAAAAAAAAAGAAGCACAAAGCGTTTAACCAAAATGACACCTGAAGAAAATCAATGCCTAATTTAAGACACCACTTTTTCATGTAGGTGAATTGTTTCTGTCTTTTGTTTCGCACACACACAAAAACACTGCCTTAAAGTTATTATTTCCTTCTTGAAAGTGTCACTATTGCTAAAAATCAATGACTAATTTAAGGAAGCATTGTTTAATTGCTTCCACTGATGGGAAAAATGAAAACGGATGTGTAAGTAATGAAAAAAACCTACTTGCCTTAATTTGTCAGAGCAGGTTACAAGCCAACCCCATTACAGCCTCTTCTCTTGGACTTATTTATTGATTGTCTGTAGTGTTGGGAATTGGCCTTAACTTAAACACCTGATTGCTTCCCTCAGGATATTTAACATCTAATCTGACATATACACACAAGAAAACAGCTGAGCAGCTTGTAATATGATATATGTGATTTTTTCCCCTTAAAAATTACAATAATCAAGATAAAATAAACCGTAATATGAAAAATAACAGCATATATGTGTTATATAAAAACAAAAAGTAGAATTGTGTAGCAATTGGCTGATAATTTGACAGATGACACTTGTTCTATAAGAATTAACAATGCAGTGTATTTTTTTTGCGCAAGAAAAAATTAAATAGCTATGAGAAGTTTTTATTTAAAATTAAACTATATTGAATAAAAAAATAATCATTTCCTAGGGGGTTTGTGTTATATCTCAAAATGGATGGGATTTCTTGTTCTGGACTTTTTACTGTTTTAGATGTTTTTAAAGTTGGGTGATAAGAAACTGTAAAATATTTACAGGGAGAATATTTTAGTGATTTTGGAGCTAAGTTACATTTTAATACCTAAACTGCAACATAAAATTAAGAATTTAAACATCCATCTAACTGTAAATGGAGTACACTTCATCCAAATCTGTATTTTACAGCTTTTTTTCCCACTTTTATCTTTGATTATTTTTAGGTCTACTTTAATACTCCAGTAATTAATCAGATAAACATTATTAAAAATAGAGATTTTCCTGATGTGTTTTTGGATATCAGTAGTTTTTCTGTGTCCTGTTTTTGTTAAAATGTTTCACTGTTTGCCTCCGAGGCTCACCTGCGGTTTGACATCTGCTGTTTAAATGAGCTTCACGGTTTCGGACCAGACACAAATGACTGCGGTATAAATTCAAATGCCCATCATTGAAATCTGATGCAAATATGTCGGTGCTTTAAATATGCGGTGGCTTCTCCGTGTGAGCTGCCTCCCCGTCCACCTCTGCAGCGCGCCGAACAGCCTGAAGGTCACTCGCAGGATTACTTGTCTTACACCTTTTAAAGGCGATCTGTCGAAAATCACCATGCAAATCCTGTTATCTGGCCCCCGCTCAGGAAATCAGGGCCTCGGCCTTCAACATATTCACCATTTATGGACATATGCTTTACATCCTGCGCCACCGGCCAAACCCTTCCCACCTCTTCTGCACTCCCAGCTAATATTCTGTGTATCTGTAGCTGTGAATTGTGGCTCTCCCCCACTGTAGCAAACAGATGGCCACTCGATTCTTGAGTCATCACAAACCCATTACGAGAGCGACTCGTCCTCAGCCAGGCCGCCCTGATTCGTGCCCGATGGCCCTCGCCAGTGTTTGCTCAGGCTCTTAAGTCATCCTCGGGCTTTGTGACACACTGTGTTTGCTCGGGTTAAATGGCTTGTGTTGCCCACGGTGTCCCCTGATTGGCTGTGACACGGCGGTGTTTGACAGGCGAAACCACACCAAGCCGTCCCCAAATGTGTTTGGCTGTTTGAAATAAGTAGCCGTGTTTACTCACCAAAAAGCCCTGAGTGTGTTTCTATCTGCGTTGCTGGGGTTTATCAGTGGCCGGGCCAGTGGGCATAAATCATTCAGAGGTAATTCAGAGAAACAACATGGCTTCCAGGAGGCATAAGCAGGGAAATTATAGCGCTACGATAATGGAGGCGCCTATTACTGCTGCTCCAGTTTAAGATGGAGAGGGGAATGATTTTTGTAATTTACAACGCTCTGTTTGCAAAATCTGACAAAATGCACCTCTGTAATGAAAAACTTCCAGACGAATACCTATTTTCAACACGTCTCCCTTTATCATCTCTTCTTTTTGATGCCTTTTCAAAGCTAGCTCAGGTCAGCCTACTGCAGCAAAAGCTGATTAAAGTTCACATAGTAGTTAACCCCAAAAGTTTATTAAAAGGTTCTTTTAACAATCTTTAATCTTTTTTCTTATGACTTGAGGTAGTAGTATTAATGTTTCTTTGTGGAAGGAGCTAAAGGTTAAAGTAAAATTAGATCTACCTGCTTAAATAAAGGACATTAAAAAAAAGTTGTTTGCATTTTTTGCAGATTTAATTCTTGCCAAGCAGTTTTTAGTACAAATATCTCAATTCACTTAATAAAACTAAGATAACTAATAAGTTACTTAGCAGCACAAAGCTTGTCTTTAGTAAATTATTTCTTAATACTGATCAAAAAGCACTTGTTCGATTGGTTCATTTTTTTCACTTATAACATGAGAAAATGTCTTGATTAAAGTGAAATGATATACCACTTATTATTCAATATTAAGGAATTATTGACTTAAAACAAGTTCCAATATCTAGTTAGTTACTTGTATGCTAGTTTTGTCTGATTTCAAGTGTAGTCAGATATTTGTACCAGACCAAAATCACTTGTTTATTCATCTTTTCATGACGACCTGCCTCTTTTTTCTTGAGCTAAATTAATTTTCCCTCTAAATCTGCCAGTGTATGAATAACTTTGTGTTTTTTTAAGGTTTAAGGTGGTGCCAGTTGTTCTGAATCATACTTTATTTTGCTTCCCCTCCTTCGCAACACAGACAGTGACAGTAATAAATAGCCTCTCTGGTCCAGGTTTAGAAAGCTGTGAAATTGGATATTGAGATGCTCTCCGGAGCTGCGGGTCGGGAGTAGCTTCAGACTAGACTGTGGGAATCGTCTAATCCGATCACCAGGAATGTTAGACGGGCTAATCGCCTCACAGGCCGCGTCTCTTTTACCCACGGGCCGGCGTAGGAGCTGATGCCAGGCTCTTTTATGAACGGGTCCTTAGTTACACCCAGACTCACTGGAACACATTAATACATCATCCTTCTCCAAATATTAATATATCTGGGTCATAATAGCACAATTAGGTCTGTTACGATAACAAACTTTGTTGGACAATCCCAGAAGACGTTATGGAATAAACAATAACGTTGTTGTTTTGA